ACGCAACATCACCCTAAAAACTACTTACCAGAGGGAAGATAACCACCCTATGCCACAAAGACTTTGTTTGGTTCTTCGAACCGACTAAATGGGTTGAATGTCACATTTGTAGTGCTCATACAACTGAAAGTGCGAATGTTTCAGCGGAATCATGTTTCGAACCCTCGATCCGGAGCCTAGGCCAAAGCTATATGAAGTCATCACATAAATCTGTAATTTTCTAAATATTTCGCTAAAAGTAATTTTTATATATTAATTTGAACTTATGTTGGTAAGTGATTTATATATATATGTTTTACTTATTTATTCTTATTTAGGATCTTACTGCTTCTGTTGCAAGTCCAAAGCTTGTTCCGGTAAAGTTAATAAAGGCGCCATATTGGATGATGAAGCCGGTGGCGACCTCTTACAGATGAAAGCATTAAAACAAGAAGTAGACTTGTTACAGATTGAGCTTAAGAAAGCGAAAAAAATGATAGCAGTCATGCAAGAGAGAGAGACGTTATTGACAGACAGGTAAACAATAGCAGTCATGAAAGACAAAGAGACGTTAATAACTGACAGTTAAACAATAGCAATCATGAAAGACAAAGAGACGTTAATAACTGACAGTTAAATAATAGCAGTCATGAAAGACAGAGAGACGTTAATATCTAACAGTTAAACTGTAGCAGTCATGAAAGACAGAGAGACGTTAATAACCGACAGTTAAATAATAGCTATCATGAAAGACAAAGATATGTTAATAACCGACAGTTAAATAATAGCAGTCATGAAAGACAAAGAAACGTTAATAACTGACAGTTAAATAATATCAGTCATGAAAGACAGAGAGACGTTAATAACTGACAGTTAAACAACAGCAGTCATGAAAGACAGAGAGACGTTAATATCTAACAGTTAAACTATAGCAGTCATGAAAGACAGAGAGACGTTAATAACTGACAGTTTGGAAGACTAATTCACGTCAGTAATTTCTTATCTACAGTAATAAGTAAATGTATCACCAATAGGATCGTCGTTTTTTTATTAATAATTTTAAACGAAGTAAATGAAAAGAAACTGAAACAACTTGTTTGGTTTCAGTTCAAAACTTATCATTATCAAAACACAACTTTTAACTGACGTTACATCCAAGTAGCGAAGTTATTTGTAGCGTATGAAACAGAATCATTAAATATTATGTATTTTGTTATATTTACAACCATGATCTTTTTTTTAGATTAGCACAACAAGCCCAGAAAATGCTGGAACGTGGAGTTAGGTTTGAAAATGTGTCTCTCGGGGATAAAACACCGACAGCTTTGATTCGTCGCTATGGTAACCTGTATGCTCAAGCTCGTGTAGATACCTTGGATTTTTTGGAGAACTTTCCAGAACTTCGAGATGCTGATGAGCTAAAATCTAAAATCCTCTTCTCTGTCGTTGTGGTTAGTTTTTAAGTTTTTAAAAATAAATTAAAAGGTTAGTTTTTAGTTTT